GCCCACACCCCAGCCCCGCCTCTCACCCCCTGCAGGATCCCGGTGCGAATCTCCGGTCCCTTGGTGTCCAGGGCGATGGCCACCGGCCGGTAGCTGAGCGGGGAGGCTGCAAAACTCTCCACCGCCTCTCGGACGTTGGCGATGGACTCAGCGTGGTACTGGGGGCGGGAGCGGAGCGCGGGCTTCAGGGGAAGGTGGCCAGGACCCCGGGCATCCTCCGGCCCCGCCCCCCTCCCCCCGGCCTGCCCCGCACCTCGTGGGAGCCGTGGGAGAAGTTGAGTCGCGCGATGTTCATCCCGGCCTTGATCATCTCCTTGAGGCGCTCCACGGAGCGAGATGCCGGCCCTAGAACCCGAGATCCCGCTCAGACAACTTTCCCCCACAAACCTGAGAGACAGCCAAACCCACCACCGTCCTCAGAGACGCCCCCCCGCGGCGGGAGTCCCGCTACTTGACCCTGATTCCCTGATCACAAGTCACAAACGCGTTCCCTCTCCCGCCAGCATCAGTCCTTTTGGGGAGGCAGCACTGTGGGGGGTGTGGTGGGGTGTCCTCAGCCAGGCCTGAGGTAACTGAGTTAGCAGATGATATGGGGGTCATCCCAGGGTATGAGAGGGGCACGGCCGTGGGTGGGTGCCAGGTGAGGGCATTTGGGGTGTGGGGGTTTACAGTTGAGAGGCCACATTGACTTTAGAGAGCTGAGTCCCTCCCATTCCTGCTGTACTGACAGGCAGTTGCTACCTGAGAGCAGGTTGGCTAACCTCTGCAGCCCTTATTTTATTTATTTATTTATTTATACATTTTTGGGGGAAGGGGGTCTTGCTATGTTGCCCAGGCTGGTATTGAACTCTTGGGCTCAAGCAATCCTCTCGCCTTGGCCTCCCAAAATGCTGGGATTGCAAGTGTGAGCCACCATGCCTGGCTTGCAGCCCCTATCGAAAGCCAGTCTTCCCACTTGGGCACTAGGTCTCCTCCTTCTCACTTGCTCAGGGACATAGAGCCGGTCATTCTCTGGTCCTCTGTGTCACCCATGTTTTTCTTTTCTTTTTTAATCATTCTCATCAGCAGGTAAACTTGCTCCTATTTCTTTCTTCCTTGACAAATACTCTCTTCATCCCATTGTCCCCTCCAGCTACAATTCTGCTCTTGGTTTTCCTCATTGCAAGAGTTATCTGTACCCGCTACCTCCAATTCTCCTCTCTCCATTCTCCCTTGACCTCACTCCAGTCAGGTGATGGTCCCCCTCTCTCCCCAGCCTCTGTTATTGTCAGGGTCACCAAGGAACTCATTCTCGACGCCCATGTAATGCTTAGTGCTCAGTGCTCCCCTGCCTGGCCCCTTAGCAGCACTGGATACATATCCCCCTTGCCATGCCTTCCTTATTGGCCTCTCTTGGTTGCCTCCTATCTTCCTGGCTGCTCCTTCTCAATCTCCTTCGTTGCTCCTCCCCTTAGCATTAGATACCCTATTTACTGTTACGTTACCTTCACTCCTTTGGTAATCTCAACGAGTCTCATGGCTTAAAATACTGTCTATATGCAGACAACTCCCAAGTTTGTCTCTCCAATCTAGACCTTTCTCCCCCAAACCCAGAGTTGTAGATCTATATACACTCTATATGACACCTGGATGTCTAATATGCATCTCAAACTCAACATGTCCCAACTGATCTCCTGATCTTCCCCCAAACCTTTCCACCACAGTCTTTCCTGCATCCTTTATCATGCCAAAAACCTCAGAGTTTTACTCTATGCCACATCAATGGAGAACATTTTTTAAAAGAAAGAAAAAATGCCAGGCATGGTTGCTCACGCCTGTAATTCCAGCACTTTGGGAGCGAGGCAAGCCCAGGGGTTCAAGACCAGCCTGGGTAACTTGGCAAGACCTCGCCTCTACAATAAATCAAAAAATTAGCCAGGCATGGTGGTGCACACCTGTAGTCCCAGCTACTTGGAAGGCTGAGGTGGAAGGATCACCTGAGCCCAGCAGGTTGAAGTTGTGGAGGCTGTGATCATGCCAATGCACTCCAGCCTGGGCAACAGAGTGAGACTCTGACTCAAAGAAAAAGAAAAAAGAAAAAAGTCATCCTTGATCTTTTCTTCCTGACCCTCATCCCCTGCCTCATCTCCAGTCCATTTCCAAATCCTGTCAGCTCTGCTTTCCAAATACATTCAGACTCTGACCACTTCTCACCACCTCACTGCCGCCACCCAGTCTAGGCCAGAAATACTGTGGGGCCGCTTCTGTCCTCGCCCCACCCCCTAATCTATTTTCTATACAGCAGCCAGGGTAGGGAAGAGAGAGAGAGTGTGTCATTCTCCTGCTCAAAACTCTGCAGTAGTTTCCCATTTCACTCAAAGGAAAACTCAGATTCTAAAAATGGCCTACAAAGCCCCATCTGATATTCCTCTCACAATCTCGTCCGTCTGCTGCACTTCCCCCTTGGTGGTTTCTAGCTATTCTGACCTCTTTGACTTAGGGCCTTGGCACTGACTGCTCCCTCTGCTTGGAACTTGCTTCCCTCAGATATCGCATGACTGATTCTCTCATCTCCTTCGATTCTTTGCTTGGATCTCAATAATGGTTGCCTTGACCTTCTTGTTTGCAGGGGGCCAGCCCCTGCAGAGAGATTTAGAGGGTCCCTGGAAGATGTGGTGGTGTCGGCGATTATTCTGGAGAAAGGAAGAGAGAGACAGGGGTAGAAAGAAAGAGACTGGACTCTGTCTAGTACAGAAGCTGATTCTTTAGGAGGAATAGATATTAAAAGAAAGAAAGATGGAGGGATAGATATAAAGAGAAAGAAAGAAAGAAAGTGGAAAACTGTTCAATGAATTGAGCAGAAGCCTTTATTGGAACTTACAATGGGTATTTATCCCCAAATTTTACACAGACAGTCTCACAAGTCTTTCACGTGGTCATAAAGCCAGGTGCAGGAGGGGTGTCCCCCACCCACCAGGTGTTTCCTCAGGCATGAGGAAGAACAATCCCAATTAAATCACAAAACTTTTACATGAACACAAAACCAGGTGAATGAGGGAGGCATCCCTCACCCACCAGCTGTTTCCTGGAGTATGAGGAAGGGCAATCCCAATTAAATCACAAGACATTTACATGAACATAGAGCCAGGTGGATGAGGGGCGTCCCCCACCCACCAGGTGTTTCCCCAAGCATGAGGAATGAGGGTCCCAAAACTATCTTACTGTTCCTCATGCTTGGTTAATATTTCTCAAAAGCCATACAACAATTCTAATATCATAATATTCTAACAATCAATAACTTTTAAAATCTATGCATACACAACACCTAATAACCAACCTAAATCCCAATTCCTCTCTATTTTATGCTAATTCTACCTACACTATAGAAACTTTTAATTATAGCCCAAACCAGTTCCTAAGGAATATGGCCCAGTCAAAAGATCATGCTGGGCCGTTTCTGGGAACAATTAATTACAATCTCTTAACAAAATGGCTGTTCCGAAATCCTATAAATCTATTTTAACTTTTTATAAAAGTTTCTAATTCCTAATCCTGATCATCAGCAATAAAGCTTCTAAAAAATAAAACCCAAATATAAACTGTAAATTGTATTAAAGCCAAAACCGCAAATGTAGAAAATAGAAACAATGTAATTTCTAAAGTTAGCTGTATTCTTATTAAACCTCAAAATATCATGTTTGATCATGCTTGAACTGACATAATTCACTGACGTAGCACAACCTATTCTACAATACTTTCTATGAATAAAATAAATTCAATTTCTATAATAAGTAGAAAAAACCCTATACTAACTGTAGCTAAAAAACCAGTTTAAAAGAAAGCAGCCTAGTTCAAAGTACACACTGGGCCCTTAAGAATGTGGCCCAGCCCAAAGTTTGTGCTGGGCCGTTTCTGGTAGCTCTAGATATTTATCTGCATTATTAAGGTTGAAACAGCACTTTGTATGTATATACTAATTCTACAAATATACTATTAAATCTTAAAAGAAGCTTGTACCATATTAAAGACTCCCAAATGTGACCTGAGTTTGAATTATGTTAAGTTTAAAGCCGAAACCGCAGTCTGTGAGAAACGGGAACAATGGACTCCTAAAGTAAGCCATGCCTGTCGTACTCTCAGAACTTCATGCTTAGATCATCAAAGTCCCTGCTAGTGAAACGTGCCAAACAGCAAAGAAGGGAAGAGGGAATGGGCCTTCAGCTCCTGAACTCATTCTAGTGGTCTCAGGGTCTGCAGCCTGCCTGGATCCCTAAAGCTCAGGCGGGCCTCCACTTGTTTAGGATGGCAAGCTCCTCCCCCCTCACACTCCTGATGTCCCTTACTATATTCTCTATTTCTCTTTTTTCTCCCCATGACACTTACCACTTTCTAACATACTAAATAATATACTTTAAAAAATAATTTGTTGTATTTATTCTTTCTTGTTACACCCAGCTGGACTGTCAGCTCCCCAAGGGCAGAAATTTTTGTTTGTCTTTTTCACTAATCTACTTTCAAAAACTTATCTACTAGCTGCTTAACAAATATTTGTTGAACAAATGACTGTGTCAAATGTGGAGAGGTCTCAAAGGAGACACAGGATGAGAACGCACCTTGAGAAACACCCAAGAAGCCCTGTGAGGCTGCAGGGGGTGGGGTAGTACTTACCGATGGTGGCAATGATGCTGGTACTGCGAGCGGCCACAGGCTCGGAGTCGATGTCCAGCAGGCAGAGGTGTTCCAGGAAGGTGTCTGCCATGGCAGCTGACAACTGCTGCCGCTGGAAGAAGGCAGTGCCCAGCTCCTGGGTCAGTTGGGCCACACTGGCCCGCCTCAGATACCCCGCCGGCCCTGAGGTAGAGGAGAATCAGGGCTGTGTGGCACAGGCCGTTCCTCCCCATGCTTCCATCTCAGCACAACTTCTATTCCTTCCTTCAGCTCTCCAATCTGTCTTAAGCCCTTCTTATGAGCTGGGCAACATGCATTCATTATCTTATTAAACCACAATGAATCTTTTTTTTTTTTTTTGAGTTGGAGTCTCACTCTGTCGCCCAGACTGGAGTGCAGTGGCCACTCCCGGCCACCGCAGCCTCGACCTGCTGGGTTCCAGCGATCCTTCCGCCTCAGCCTTCTAAGTAGCCGGAACTACAGGCGTGCGCTACCACGCCCAGCTGATTTTTTGATTTATTGTAGAGATGAGGTCTTGCTGCCCAGGTGGGTCTCGAACCCACGGACTCAGGCAATTCACTCACCTCAGCCTCCCAAAGGCGTGGGATTACAGGCTGAGCCACCGAGCCCGGCATGAATCTTATTTTTTTTTTTGTCGGGGTCTCACTCTGTCACCCAGGTTGGCAGGCAGTGGCTTGATCACAGCTCACTGTAGCCTCTAACTCCTGGGCTCAGGTAATCCTTCCACCTCAACCTCTCGAGTAGCTGGGATTACAGGCACACACCACCAGCCCAGCCAATTTTTAAATTTTTTGTAGAGACAAAGTCTCGCTATGTTGCTTAGGCTGGTCTCAAACTCCTGGGCTCAAGCGATCCTCCCACCTTGGCCTCCCAAGGTGCTGGGATTACAAGTATGAGCCACCCACACCCAGTCTTAAGTCACAAGGATCCTATAAAACAGGTACTATTAAGTGTTTATAATTATCCTGATTTTACAACTAAAGAAGTAGAGGCTGAGAAAGATGAAATAAGTTGCCCAAGATCATATGACATCTAAGTAATAGAGATAGGAGTCAAATCTAGGTTTGAGAACTCTAGGCTCAAGTTCTTGACCAGCCAACTATACTGACCCTCACAACCCAGGACTTCTTTTTTTTTGTTGAGTTGGAGTCTTAGTCTGTCGCCCAGACTGGAGTGCAATGGCCACTCCCGGCTACTGCAGCCTCGACCAGTTGGGCTCCAGCGATCCTTCCGCCTCGGCCTTCCAAGTACTGGAACTACAGGTGCACACTACCACACCCGGCTAATTTTTTTATTTATTGTAGAGATGAGGTCTCACCAAGTTGCCCAGGCAGGTCTTGAACCCGTGAGCTCAGGCAATCCACTCACTTCAGCCTCCCAAGGCGCAGGATTACAGGTTGAGCCACCGAACCCGGCTAATCCAGGACTTCTTGTCCTTCTGCAGCTGACTTCTCTCAGCCTCAGGCTCCCTTGATGTTTAGTCCCCAGTGGCTCCTCATTAGGCAGGCCCAGAATCATCCAGTTCCCTCTCCTAAAGTTTCTGTGTTCTTCCTTCCAACCCCTGACAATTGGCTGACTTCACCAACCTCTTCTTTGAGTTCCCCCAGTCCCCTCAGTGCTGATTCAGGCCCAGGGGGTCCCTGTAGCTTGACCCAGCCCAGGCCACAGGAGCCCCCCTTCCAGTCGCACCTTCCATGCCGCTGCAGGCCTACCCCCTCTCTGTGGGTTTGCTTCACAAGGTCTGTCAGGCTGTCAGGCATGTGGCCCAGCTGGGCTGAGATCAGTTCTGTGAGCTGGTTAAAGTGTCACCAGTATCTCCCCTTCCATTGGAAGCTCTGTATGCCAGGGACCAGAGTCCAGGAACCACGGGGGTGCCCCGTGGGTCCCATGCTGCAGGATTCCCTCTGGCCTGCCTATAGGGCCTGGACAAGAGCCCCAGCCCAGGGGCCATAATTTAGCACATGGAGATTGATGAACGTGGATCCTCCCCAAATCTCTCCTAGCCAGCAGCAGATATGCGTCATGTATACCCGGTTTCCACCCTCCTTTCCCTTTCTGTCCAATGGCTTCTGTTTCCCCTTCTTACCTCCTGGAGCCCCAATCAAGATGGACTTTGCTAAGTCTCTTTGGGACTTAGAGACCCATGACCAAAGCTGTGGGTGTAGTGTGTTCTCCTGGCTCGACATGCTTCAAAAGTGTGGGCCTGGGGCTGCTGGACTGGAGACAGGAGGGCGAGGATGACAAAACTGCTGGTCTTATCTAAGAGAACCAGAGAATAGAAAAGGGGCACACCCACTGGGCCTCCCTGAACCCACACAGAGTCCCTCCCCCAGACCTGCTGACCCTGCCCCCATCTTCTGGCATTCCCACCTTCTCCTCCATTTTTTCCTGATAAATTTCCAATTCATTCACACCATCTAGTCATTAACCTGAATTGATTTTTTTCCCCAGTGATATTGTCCCGTTTTCTTTGTACTTTACCGAGTTAGCCCTAGTGAATCTAAGAGGCAGGGACTTCAGGGTAGAGTCTGGAGCCTGAAGAAAGGAAAAAGGGAGCACTGGGACAGGGTGGTGGGTATAGGGTCCCTCGGTTTCCCCCACTTTTTTTTTCCTGTCCTGAGAGATACAGACCACACTGCGGCCTAGTCAGAGTCACAGAGCTTGGGCTCCCTGCGGACTGGAACCCAAGCTGGGGCCCTGGACATTCCCAGGCACTGATAAGACTTTTGGGGTTGTTGCTGGAAACAACCTGGAGTTTAGTGCTTCTTTCTTTGGAATCCCAAGTGGCCCCATCTCAGGATGGTTTGGAGCATGGCTCATGGGAACTTGTCTGCCGTTGCTTTTGGGATGACTCTAGCTGTGGGTTTGGCTAAACAGTGGAATTCTCTGGAAAGGCTTTAATGGCATCATCATTATCATAACATTGGTTACCATTTGCCCATTCACCTCTGTCCAGTCTTTATGGAGCACCAACTCTGAGCCAGTCCCGGAAGTTACAGTGGTGAGCAAAACAGACAGGACCTTTACCCTTCTATGAGCTTTGCAGGATCATGGGAGACAGACTATAGACAAGTAACAAAGAAATGAATATAAACTACAAACTTTGTAAAGAAATGAACTACATACTTTTTAAGTGCTATTAAGTAACCAGGGTGCTGGAACAGAGAAGAGAGAGGAATGTATTTAATTAAATTAATTAATTATTTTAATTTATTTTTGAGTCAGAATCTCACTCTGTTGCCCAGGCTGGTGTGCAGAAGCATGCTCACAGCTACTGCAGGCTCAACCTGTTGGGCTCAGGTGATCCCTACACTTCACCTTCCAAGTAGCTGGAACTACAGGTGCAAAGCACCACACCCAGCTAATTTTTTTATTTGTTGTAGGGAGATGAGGTCTCACCAAGTTGCCTGGGCTGGTCTCAAATTCCTGAGCTCTCAGGCAATCCTCTCACCTACATGCCCCAAAGTACTGGGATTACAGGCGTGAGCCACCGCCCCTGGCAGAAATGTATTTTAGACAAGGTAGTTGAGGAAGGCCTCTTTTGGTGATAAAGTCTGGGCTTTTAGTGTACTTATTGCCAGCATAGTGAGCACTGTATTCAATAGGTTCTTTTTCTTTCTTTCTTTCTTTCTTTTTTTTTTTTTGAGTTGGAGTCTCACTCTGTCACCCAGGCTGGAGTGCAGTGGCACACTCATAGCCACCCCAGCGTAGACCTGCTCTGTCTATCCTTTTGTGTCAGCCTTCCAAGTAGCCAGAACTACAGGCATGTGCTACCATGCCCAGCTATAGGTAATTTTTCAATTCTTACCCCCTCCCAACTTTGTTGTCTCCAGTGTCAATTATTCAACTCTGGACGTCCTTGTGTACCCATTGTGTGAGAACGTGCAGTATTTGACTTTCTGAGTTATTTCAGTTAAGATAATGACCTCTAGTTCCACCCATGTTGCTGCAAAAGACATGATTTCTTTCTTGTTTTGTGGCTATATGTGTGTGTGTGTGTGTGTGTGTGTGTGTGTACCAGTCCTCTATTGAGGAATACTCAGGTTGATTCCTTGACTTTGCCATTGAGAATTGTGCTGCAATAAACTTGTGGGTGCAGGTATCTTTTTGGCATAATGATTTCTTGGGGGAAATCCTCTTTGAAGTGACCACATTTATAGCTGAGATTTGAAGGATAAGGACTCAGTGGGGCCAAATGGAGGAAGGAATTTTCTGTGGTGGTAGAAATAATATATAGGCTCTAGGAGAGAGGATTGTCTGAGCCCATGGGTTCGAGACCTGCCTGGGCAACTTGGCAAGACCTCATCTCTACAATAAATCAAAAAATTAGCCGAGTGCGATGGCACATACCTGTAGTTCCAGCTACTTGGAAGACTGAAGCAGAAGGATCGCCTGAGCCCAGTAGGTCGAGGCTACGCTGGCTGTGAATGTGCCACTGCACTCCAGCCTGGGCGACAGAGTGAGACTCTGACTCAAAAAAAAAAAAATATATATATCTATATATATATATAGGTGCTATATATATATAGATGATGAGGAAGAAAAAGCTCGGTGCCAAAAATCAGAGGAGCTGCAGTGAGGCTACATATCTGGAGGGGGATGATCCATGGTGAGGACCTGAGCCGGGTCTGTACTATGGTGGGTCTACTCAGAAGGGGGACATGATCCAAACGACACTTTAGGGCTCTGACTGGCAGGTGGACAATGAATGGTGGATGCAGGGAGACCTACTAGGGGGTTAGGAGTAACCTAGGTGGGAGGTGATGGACTAGTGAGGTGGCAGTGGAGATGGGAGATGGCTTTGAGATACATTTTGGAGAAGAGTCAACAGAGTGGAATGACAGAAGTGCCAAGGGGTAGGCAAGCACGTGCCTTCCATTACCTGGAGAACTGCACCAGGGAGTCTGCTTGAGCAGTTGGATAAATGGTAGTGCCACGAACTGAGACTAGGGAAGAAATAGGTTTGAAATGGGGAGAACTTCAAGCTCTCTGTTTTGGACACGCTAAGTTGGAGATGGCAATTAATCATGAAAATCCACAGGCAGGCCAGGCTAGATGGCTCAGTCTGTAATCCCAGCATTTTGGGAGGCCGAGGCAAGTGGATTGCCTGAGCCCGCGGATTCGTGACCAGCCTGGGCAACTTGGCGAGACCTTGTCTCTACAATAAATCAAAAATTAGTCGGGTATGGTAGCGCTCACTTAGAAGGCCGAGGTGGAAGGATCACCAGAGCCCAGCAGGTCAGAACTGAGATGGCCGTGAATGTGCCACTGCACTCTAGCCTGGGTGACAGAATGAGACTCCAACTCCAAAAAAGAAAAGAAAAGAAAAGAAAATCCACAGGCAGACAGTTGAATTGAGTATTTCCTGTGCACTGGAGCAGTGTTCAGTAAATACCACCTGCTTTTATCATCGTGACAATCTAGAAAGAAGGTAAGATCAACAGGCTGTTTTACAGGCTTAGCAGGGTGTGTTACACATCTGGGGACACTCCAGACACCTTCTTTACCCTTATCCACTCTGCTCTGGGGCCAGGAGGCCTAAGCCTTGTCCCATGGCTCTTGTAGCTTGGAGAGTGGTGCCCACAGGAGAAGAGACAGAAAGTGAAGTTGGACATTGACCTCCCCAGCTCCTTCCTGTGAGGTTGCTATAGGTCACAGCACCTGCTAGGGGGCTCTCTGGGCCCAGATTCTAGTAATTGCTTCTCCCCATCCCCTGGATCCTTAAGGGGGTAACAAAGTCTCCTGTTACTAGATCTGGGGTAATGCACTATCCCTTGTGGCTTACCAACAGCCTGCCCATGTGTTTGTATATAATCCTGTTATGAAACACTCCTCAAATTATGCAATTCGAGACAGTCCTCCATTTCCTGATGGAATTCTGTCTTGTACACTTGTCTGATGCTAAAAATCTTGTCAGTGGTGGAGTCAGGACTTAGGCCCAAAGAGCTGTGGGTCCAGAGCCTGAGCTGTGACCACTATGCCCTGCTGCTTCCCCTCAGGACTGTTTCCATGGATGGGAAGGGGAGAAGTCTCAGACTCTGGAGTTAGAAAAAAAAGAGGTAGCTAGTAGGAAGTTTTCTGAGGTGAAATGAGAATGGATCCTAAGCTCCCTGGACACAGAAGACAACAAATAAAGATGGACAAAAGTTGTAATCACAGGGAATGTGGTAGACTTCAGGTACTGGCGCGACTCAAGCCTTGTGCTTGGGAGTTGGGGAGGAACATGAGACTTTAAGGTTGGTCTGGCAATTTTGAACTGACTCCAGAGATCCCAGTCCCAAGTGATTAGCAGGAGGTTGTGTCCCAAAGTAGCCCCTGTTCTGACCAGGTAAGGGCCAGCTGAAATCAGGTCAAAGAGGCAAAGCAGTCTGGCTGACCCCGAGTCAACAAGTGACCAAGTAATAGATGGTTTACACTTTGACACAGGGTCAGGCATCCCTGAGCCTGAGGCCTGTGGATTAGAAAACTGGGGGGGGGAGGGGGGAGAAAGAAAACTGGGAGGACAACAGACCCCCAGAATCAAAATAGAACGGCTGTAACTGCTCTGTGGGATGAAATCTGTCCCCACCCCCACAAACACACACACTCTGACAGCCTCAGACACATGTAGAGTTGCCCACATGATGTCAAACACACAGAGACACACAAATGCTGGTCATTCCATAAGCAAGGATGGAGGCCCCACCGTGTGCCCTGCTGTACCAGACTCGGAAGAGGTAAGGGTGGAGGAAGTCAGGTGGCTTCACAGAGGAGGTGACACCAGAGCTGAACGGAGTCAAGGACAGATCGCCCGCTGCTCAAACACATGCACACACATGTGAGGTCACACACACACACACAAAAGCTCTTCCCCACAGTCCACACACACATAGGGCCAGTACACCCTCCACCCTACCACATAGGGTCCACACCCACACACTTAGAGGTAGACACACCTGAACCTCCCCCACATTCTCTCACACTCGTGTGTTCCCACACTCAGGCACGCATTCCGTTTTCCCACCGCGCACACAGCCCTAAGCGTCCTCAGGCCGCTTTATTCTGCAGACCTGACAACACCCGCCGCGCCTCACCGGGGGAAGGGACCGCCGCCAGCCTGCAAGGGGCGCCCGAGAGCCAGCGGCCGCGCTGGCGAGAGGGGCCAGCCGGACCGCCGGGTCCAGGGAGGCGGCGACGCGGCCCGCGGCTCTCATCTGCCCCACCGCGA